TCCGTGTCCCAACACAAACCTCCCTGGGAGCAGCAGGATCCTGAGAACCTCTGCTAAACCCAGCCCTCTGTTCCCTGAGCCTGCTGGTCATTGCTGGGATCCAAACATTTCCTGGGATCTGTGATCCTGGCACAGCTTGGATCCATGCAGCAGCATCCTTAAAAACTACCAGGCCATATTTCAGTGCCTTTCCCTGCCCATCCCCTCCTGCAGCCAAGGCTGGAGCTGCTCCTTTCCTACCCCAGTGGTTTGTTCCCAGCACAGCTTCTCCAGCTCACTCATCCGAAGTGTCTCTGGTTTTCACCTCAACCTGCACTTTTGTTTCCATGTCACATTTATTCCTGCCCATTTTGGTGTTGTTGGAGTGACTCCCTGGTTGCTATGAGATGGATGATGCTCTGGGCTTTCTGTGTTCCCTCTCCCTTTCCTGCTGCCATCTCGTAACACTTAATCCTCTGTATCTCTCCATCTTTCCCTGAAAAGTCACCGAAGGTGAAAGCTTTCTCCACTTGCTCTATCTTGAGCCTTTAAGCTCTGGATCCTGTTTGTGACCTTGAGCCAATTCCACGACCCAAACCATCCCGTGATTCCAGGATTCTGTGCTGGCTCCTGGTCGAGGATCCCAGACTGGGAGACAGGGATGGTGTCACCCTGGCTGGACTCGACGACCTCAGAGATCTCTTCCCACCTTAATGACTCCGGGATTTCAGGGATGCAGATCCCCTATTCCCACTGCTTGGCTCGCTCTATATTTTCCAGCTCAGCCCCACATTTATATAAAACCAGAAACACGCTGGAACCGCGTTTGCCCCACGGAAGATTTTATGGATGGTGGAGAAACCCAAACAGAATTTAGGGACGTGAATTTATTCTGTGGAAATGCCGCTTTGCCGCGCTGATTCCTGTCAGTAGCCGGGGAAATGCATGTCAGGAAATGGAATATTTGCCAGCGTGGGATGCGGGGCCGTCAGTCCCGTCTGGCACCCGCCATATGGGGCTGTGTTCGCACGGGGGGGCTGCGGGAGGAGGAGGACACGGGCTGAGGTGTCGAGGCTTCACAGAGGTGCAAACGGGACAGCAGAACGGCCTCGTTAATTCTGGGGAGAGCACAATTAATTCCCCCGCCCAGGGGAGCTGCTGTCAGCGCGTCTGCAGAGCCAGAGACCGTCCCTGTGCCCTGCTTGAGCAGGAACTGGGCAGAGAATTTGGGCTGGGACAAGCCCGGGCTCTCATTTACTCAGAGGAATTTAACTGAAAAAAAAAAGGGCAGAAAATATATAAAATCTCCCAAAATTAGGCGAAGCAAAGGTGCTGAGGGGCTGTGCGGGGTGAGCTGGCTGAGAGGACACGCAGCTCTGCCCTTTTCAGGATCTTGCCATGAAATTAAAACCACCCTGGAAAACCCGGGGGAATGGGGGGAGAACGAGGCACCCCGAGGATTTAGCAGGAGCAGGAACAGGGAATCACCCCAGCTGTCCCACCTCTCCCTGAACAGGGAATATTCTTCCTGAGAGGGCCTGGGGACGTGCGAGTCCCTCCCGGGGGGAGGATGGGGATCCCCAGCCTGTCCTGGCGCATCCTTTGTCGCTCCGCCGGAGCCTTTTCCCGATAGTTTGGGAAATGCCATTCCCAGAGCCAGGGCAGGGTGGGGAAGCAGCAACCTGTGCAGGCCAAAGTCTGCAGCCTTTTAACCACGGATCGCTCCCCGCCTTGGAAGTGGTTTCTGTTTGTTTTAACACTTTCCCCTTCTATCTCCTGCCTTTTATGCGCGGCTTTAAATCCGTGTTAGTGAATAGGTCCTTACTGGAGTCATTAAGTTCCATTCAACTCATCCAAAGGCAATCCATTAGCTTTATTTGTTGCCTGGTTCCCTTATCTGCCCCGATGTTATCTGCCTGTTCCTGTTGTAAAAGGAAAGTTTCCTTATGGAGAGGAAGAAAGCGGTTTGCCCAAGGCAGAGGTGCCTGTTGTTCTTGCCCTGACCTTCCCGAAAGCCGGGAGGGCTGAAACCTCGCCAAAACAACCTCCTTGCCCCCCAAAGCAAGGCTGCGAGAAAATGGGAATGTGGGATCTGTTGGATGCTCTCACTGAAAAAAAAAAAGGGGGGAATAAGTGACCATGGGAGGTGAGCGCAACAGGCAGAACAGGCGGGATGTGCCAGGGGACGTTTAGGTTGGATATTATGGAAATTTCCACACCAAAAGGGTTGTCCAGCCCTGGCACAGCTGCCCAGGACAGTCGGGGTGTCACCACCCCGGAGGGGTTTAAAAGCCACGTGGGATTTTGGACTTTGGAAGTTGCAGCGGGGAAAACATCCCCGGCTCAGCTTCTCCACAGGGGGATTTTTAGCAGGAGCTGTTTCTCGTGGTTTTTCCAGCCTAAAACTTCAACCTGCAGGACAGGGAGGTTCAGAGGGCACAGCTCAGCGTGTCCCGAGTCCTCTGTGCTGGCAGAACTGCCCTGATCATTGCTGGCACATCCCAGTGTCCCATCCAGGGCTTCCTGGGATGGAGAGCTTTTCTTTCACGCTGCAACCACTTGAGGAGTCTGATCCTCCTTCTACTTCAAGTGTTTTTTCCTCCCGTTGCCCATAAATCTCCCCCTGCCCTCAGGGAATGTGGGCAGGTCCTTTGTTTGCTCTTCCATCCATCACCTTTTGGAACAGGGACGGGTGTTGTCCCAGCTCCTCCTCGGGAGAGGCTCTGCTGAACTCTGTGAAATGAGTTTATCTCCCCCCCACTGCCAAAATTTGGACCAGAAATCGCAGCTCTTGCAGATTTGAAGTCAGAAAGCTGAAGGGATGTTGTCTCAAACTCTGTTTAATCCTCCTGTATCAACCCAAAGAAGTTTTTTTGGGGGGTAGATGCTTCTCACCTGCTGTTTTCCATGTTTCCCGCTGCACACAAGGCTCCTGTTCTCCAGTTCCATCTCCCCAGGTTCCTCTGCCTCCCGTTCCCGGCCCTGCCCCAAGGCCAGGGCAGGTTATTTTGGCGATTAAACCGACTTAGAAATTGGTTTATCGGTGCCTTGCACTGGGGGATTCACCTTCCACGAGATCCTGGGATTCACCTTCCACGAGATCCTGGGCTGAGAGGGACCTCCAGGTCTTATATTCCTGAATCAAATTCCCCAGGGAATTCTGGCAGCTGAGGCTGCTTTGTCCTTTCAGTGTAATTCAGAATTTGGGAAAGAGTTTCTGACAGATCCCTCCTGGTTCGATTCAAAGCACCAAATGCAAAACGCATTAGGGAACCGATTGGAAAAATAAATACAAATTAAGTTGTTTTTTTTTTCCTTTTCATGTAAATTCGAGCACTTAAAGCCTCCACTTTCCTCTCTTCAAAAAAAAAAAAAAAAAAAACAAACAAACTTTAAAAGCTTTTTTTCAAAGCTCAGTTTCCAATCTACATATTGATGGGGGGGAAAAAAAGGGAATTTAAATTCTGTTCTTCTAAGAAAGAGCCTGGCAGGCTGCCTGTGTGGGGATGAGAGATCTCAAATATTTGTGCTTTGGATTGGACTCATTAAACTCCTCTAACCAGAGATGTTTCTCCCGGCCCTTGAAGCTGGAAAAAAACTGCTGATGCCTTCAAAAGGTGGAATTAGGAATGTCTTTGTACATTAAGCTTTTTAGAGATTTCAATTTTTCTCCCGGGGTTGAGTTTTCTACTCTTTTTTTTTTTTTTTTTTTAATGCTAGAAATGACTCATTTGAATAATGGAGGCAAGCCAATAACCTTTTTGATTATTTGAAAGGTCGTTCTGCAACCTGAAAGCAGCGTGGCTTTAATGATTTAATGCTGATGGCAGATGGGTCAGGAGGGGTTTCAATGTGTCCCGTGGCTTCAATAATCAAAATATCTCTCCCTGTGTGTTACAGAGATCTGGATAAAGGGATAGAGAGGGTGGATTTTTACTTTCTTCTTAGGAGAAAATAACTTTCCCAGAATCAGTGTGGATTAACACAAGCCAAGGAGGGGAAGGAGAAGGTGTTAAATGAGTTTCTCTCCTCCCTGTTGCCAAAGTTTGGCCCAGTAATTGCAAATTTTGTAGCTTTGAAGTCAGAGAACTGAAGGTATTCTGTTGTGTTGATTTTTTTTTCCCTGGCAATAATTCCAGTTGGGTCAGGGGTTTTGTTTTCCTTTTTAATTACAGTCAGTGCAGATGGGAGTGAGCCAAAACTGCAGGAAAACTGCTGGATTCCGAGGAATGAGGGCTGGCAGTGACCAGTCAGCTCCAGCACCTCCAAAGGATCCTCAACAATTCCCTGCACCCACACTGGGAGTTCAGCTGCAAAATCCAGGTGGGAGAGGGATGGCTTAGAAGTAGAAAAAGGATTTTGAGCTCTCAAATGTGGTTTTAAAAGCTCTGGAATTTTCCCACATTCCCTTTCCTGCTGGGAGCAGGAGCAGACCCGGAGGTTCAAGGCTTGGGATCTGTTTCCATCCCGACTTTCCTTTGCTGCTTAAAAATCCCTGTCTTCAGGAGGACTGTGAAAGATTTGGTATTTATTTGGTAAAAAAAAAGGTGACTGACTGCTCTGTCTCCCTGTGATGGTTGTTCACAGGCCTGCAAGGAGAGGAGCTGGGATCAGTTTAATTCCTGGAATCCTTTGGTGTTAAAGGCACTCAAATTGTCTCCAGAGATTATTCCATGTCCAGTCTGGTGTTTTCAGCCACGTGCCGTGAAAAGGCTTAAAAAATGAAACCAAGGCAGGTACTCAAAGCAATACCTTTATTTCAGCTACTTTTTCCAACAGCTGTGGGAAGGAGTTTGCCTGGCAAGGACTCTTCCTGTGTCCTTCACACAAACAGTTCAGGATGAGGAACTGAGGGAGTGGGAAAGGAGGAATGGGATAAAAAGATGGGTTTTGTTGCATTTACCTTTCCACTGTTCTATCAAAAATTTTTTAGGCAAAAAAAAGAACCCAAATCTCCTAAAATATCAAATATCATTGATATTTTTCTTTTTTTTTTTTTTTTTTTGCAGAAAAGGCCCCTTTTCTTCCCAGTTTTCCTCTCCATTTTCCAGCAATGACGGTGCTATGAGATGGCAATTTCCATGGAATTCCAGCTCAGCAAATTCCAACCATCCCACCATTTTCAAATGGGAAACCCACATTCCCAGCCCTGCTGGATGTTCTTATAAGGAATGTTGGTATTAGTACAGAGGGGTAGCTGTGGCTCTTCCAGCTCTGTGCCTCTGGAAAAGCTTTCCCAGGTGGAGAAGCCACTATTTAATTCTGGAATTGTGCTCTCAGAACGAAATATTGCACGAAATGGAACAAAACTGGAATTTAGGGTTGATGTTACTGGGGGCCTACACAGGGTTGCAAAGCTGGAGTTGAAGCCTTGTGGGTGCTTGTGCAGCTCGTAGCACCTTGGAACAGTCACCTCCACCCTCACTGGGCATGGAAAGACAACCCTTCCAGATCTATAATCCTTCCTGGACAATTTAAAGATTCCCACATAGCAGGAAGAATGACATTCCTTAACTAGCACCCATTAGCACCTCAGATATAATTAAAATTTCTTCTCTAAAGGAGAGCAAAGGAGTTAAATTTTTGCTGCCAGCTTAGGAGGGATATTACTGGGTCTCGTGGGTTTACTAGGGGTCTACACAGGGTTGCAAAGCTGGAGTTGAAGCCTTGTGGGTGCTTGTGCAGCTCATAGCACCTTGGAACAGCCACCTCCACCCTCACTGGGCATGGAAAGACAACCCTTATAGATCTATAATCCTTCCTGGATTATGCAAAAATTCCCAAACAGCAGGAAGAATTACAGTCCTCAATTAGCACCCAGGCCCTTAGGTATAATTAAATTTTTTTCTCTCTAGCAGAGTGAAGGAGTTAAATTTTTGCTGTCAGCTTGGCAAAGCCTCCAGGGGTGTTACTGGGGGTCCACACAGGGTTACAAAGCTGGAATTGAAGCCTTGTGGGTGCTTGTGCAGCTCGTAGCACCTTGGAACAGCCACCTCCACCCTCACTGGGCATGGACAGACAACCCTTCCAGATCTATAACCCTTCCAAGTGGAACTAGATGTGCACTTCTACGAGGGAAGACTCTACTGGATCTACCAAAGCCTCGCACCCGGAGCCGGCGAGCGGCTACTCCACGGCCGGTTTGACGAGGTGCCCGTTGAAGATGATGTAAACATCGGACTCCTCGCTGTAAATGGCGTTTTCCCTCTCCCTCTTGAACATCCTGACCCAGACCTCGTCGCCCTCCTGCAGGTCCAGCATGAGGCTCTGGCTCTGCATGATGCTGCGCTCGCTGGGCTGGGCGTACAGGATGGCCACCTCCTGCTCGTTCCTCATCACGTGCACGTAGGTCTCCTTGTAGTTCCACGTGTGCACGTTGAGGCTGAAGTAGTAGATGCCCGGCACGTAGCAGAAGAACTTCCCCGTGAACATGTTGAAGTGCTGGTAGAGGTTCACCAACTCAGTGTCGAAGGTGACGAGCTGGAAGTAGTCGGAGCTGTGCAGGGGTTTCCTCCGGCCCACCGAGAAGGCGGCGAAGAGCTGCTTGCAGGAGTGGCCCTGAGGGCCGGGCTGCCCTTTCTGGCCCTTCCTGCCGTTCAGGCCACGTAATCCTCTCTCTCCAGCCTTGCCAGCTGCTCCAGGGAATCCCTTCTCTCCCATCTCGCCCTTCTCCCCTGCGAGCAGAAAGGAAAACCTCGTGAGACGCGAGCGCGCGGAGCCCGAGCTGAGGGAACGCCCTGAGGGAGACAACGGGCAGAGGAGGTGCTGGGGCGCTGCTTTCCCAGCACACACAGCAGGAAACAGTGGTCAAACATCAGCACTTTGCCATTTTTCAGGAGGATAAAGCCAGGGGGGAAGCTTGGCTGCACCAAGCTGGTGATGCTGATGTTCTGTGCCCAAAGGTGGAACTCCATGGCCCGACCACAGCAGGGACATGAACCCGGCGTTCATCCCCCACCCCCTCGGTGCAGAGACGGGGACAACACAAGTTTTTGGTTCTGCTGAGGCCTGATTTGAGCCTGGGAGAGGTGGTTGGGTCTTGTCTGTGCTCACAGGACTCCTGGAGCACCTCCTGCATTTCACACTTCACTTTTATTTGTCTACCTTGCTGAGACAAGAAATGCACCATGGAAAAAGCCTTTTTTTTTTCCCCTCAGTTTTTAAACCACTTAGTAACTTAGTGAGAACGTTTGAACCTGAGTTTTGGTGTGACCTCTAACATGAACTTCCAGGATTTGGGGTTTTGATGGATTACAGACTTTTGCACCCCTCGTTCCGGGTGGACACACCGGAAGAGCTCGTGGAGGAGAGAGGAGCGAGGAAGGCAAAGGCTGCCACGGGGGTGGTTGGCTGTACCCACCTTTGAGGATGGTGATGTCTATGGTGGGCTGGACTTTGGGCACAGAGTAGGGGCTGCTGCTCATCCTGGTGTGCCTGGAGGAGAGGATGGACACGGGCTGCTCCGAGGGGCCGCAGCAGCGCACGCACGACAGGCGCCTGGGGGGGCCCTTCTCCAGCTCGGCTCCGACGTTCCCCATGGACACCAGGAGCAGCAGGAGCACCACCCTCATCTTCAGCAGGGCCAGCTGGACCAGCAAAGGAACAGGAATTATTAACACAGCGATTCCAATCAGAGCCATCTGTCGGTGTTACCTCGAGGTGCTTTTCCCGGGGTTAATTATTAGCTGAGCTTGGAGTGGCACCGGGAGACTCCAGGTGGGAATGGTGGCCCCACGTCCCCACTGTTTACAAGCAGTGGAAAAGGCAACCCCTGTCCCTCATTACCTAAAATTGCCTGACAAGAGACACCAGATAAACAAAAGAAGGAAAAAAAAAAAAAAACCCACCCAAACCAAACAAAAGCTGCTGAGATGAGAAGCTCCAGCTCTGCTGGAGGTGCTGCTTGGCTGCTCTTGGAACAGCCCCTACAAAAGGTTCTGGGTAAAAGACACCCACGAAAAAAAGCCACCAAGTGTTGCTCTCTTGGTTTGTTGCACCAGCATCCTGCAAAATTCAAAATGAAAGGCAGAATATACAACTTTATTTCAATATAGAGCCTGAGCCAGGTTTTTTTTGAAGAAAAAAACCCTGAAGAAAAATGAAACTAAAAGAAACAAAAAGCATTTCTCTCTTTAGACATTCTCCTGAAGCCTCTGGCTGGAAACCTCTTCCCAGGAACATCTTCCCAAGAAGACTCGTGGTTCTGACCATGCCCCCTTGTGCTCTTCCCAGTAGAATTCCTGTGTGGACTTTCCCTTTTTATTTTCCAAGGTGTGGAATGCAAAGCCATAAAAAAAGCCCCAAAGCAAAGTGAGATTTGCTCTGCACAAACACTGAGATTTGAGATGTTCTGTTGCATTTTCAGCTGCTGCTGGTGAGCTCTGAAAGCCCTGAGTGAAACACAGGGAGGAGACGTTGGAGACAGGGCAGTGATGGGAATTTTCTCTGGCTCCCAAGCCCTAGGAAGGGATTGGAGCTGGACACAGGCAACTGCCTCCTGGTTCCATGTGTAATTAGTGTCATCCCACTGATTGCAGTGGTGCTTCAGCCAGGGCAGATTTTTTGGATCGATGCCTTTATGGAGCTTCTCCAAGGTCCAATTAGTGAGATGGACTTGTATCGACCTCAGGCTGGGAACAGCTCTCACAGCTCCTCTTCTACCAGCTGGAATTCCTGGGAGAGAGGGGGAAGGTGGGATCTGGATGTCCTGGATTTTAGGAATTGCTCCATGAACACACAGGTCCCTCCTGCAGAGGGAGGGAGGGGATCCTGCCCTGGGGCTGCTCAGAGGCTTCACTGGGAACAAAGTGAGCCAGGTGGGAAAATAGAGAGGAAAAAAAACGTGTCAGTCTAGGCAAGGATTGTCCCAGCATTCCTGGGAGATGTTTTCTTCTCGTTCTTACCTGCCCCTGTCATTCACACCTTTTATTACTTGGTGTAATGCAGCTCCCTGGAAAGCCCATAAATACTCATTAGCAGCAACATAATGACTTTCCCTCTGCCAGCAGTGCAAGTCCTTTCATCAAATCCCTCAGAACTCCAAATATCTTCCTATTCATGATTGTCCCTCCTTCCAGGAGGGATCAATACTCCTTTTCTATCGGCGTTCAGGGCTTGAATTTCATTTTCATTAAGTCCTTTTTAATTTCCATTCACTCCTTAAGCCATCTTTGTGCTGCCAGCCAGGAACAGAAAAGTTTAAATGGACAGAAAGTCAGGAATAAAACCAGCCTGGGCGTGACCAGAGAAGGATGTTGGACTGCAGAGAGGATTTTGGGTTTCTGAGGTCTCCTGTGGAGTGATTTAGGTTTGTGAATATACAGAATGTCTGTGGAAGACCCAGTGTCTTAATCTGTGGGAAAGGAGGCGTGGGGGGAAATTATTGCCCTCTAGAAGTTCCTGAAAGGAGAGGGGAGCCCGGGGGGGGTCAGGCTCTGCTCCCAGGGGACAAGGGACAGGACAAGAGGAAGGTTCAGGCTGGACATGAGGAGGAATTTCTCCATGGAAAGGGTGGTCTCTGTGGAAGGGGCTGCCCAGGGAGGTTTGGAGTCCCCACCCCTGGAGGTGTCCAAGGAAGGCCTGGCTGTGGCACTCAGTGCTCTGGGCTGGGGGACAAGGTTGGATTGGATGATCCTGGAGGGCTTTTCCACCCTCAGTGATTCCATGTGCACTCAGAGCCCCCGGCACTCGGGGCCAATCCATCCTCTTTGGGATAAAAGCCCTTTAGCCCCTCCCAGGAGGGCAAACAATAACCTGGGATAAAGTCCAGGCTGTTTGATCCCATTATCAGGACATTAAAGCAGAGCACGTAATTGCTGGTGGTACCCCCATGAAGGAGGAAGAACATTTATTATTTATAACAGCAGAAGGGAAAGGATTCATAAACACGAAGAAATCACTCTACATTTTTACAGGCCATTATTTTCCCTGAGGTGAAGGACTTTCCTGATTTTAGAAGTGGCTTGAGGGAGGGAAAAAAAAAAGCCAGTCTGGGTGAAAACTCAGTGTTCAGGTTGTGCACAGCTCACATGACAGGATCTCAAGCCCCCACTGAAGGATTTGTGGCCACTTGAATGATTCAGGAAGAGCAATAACTCAAGTTATTGGCTAGAAATTGCATTTGGAAAAAAAACAAACCAAAACAAAAAAAAGCAAATGATGCAACAATTCAGTCAATTCAGGGCATCCTGGAGCTGACAACTCCACACCACAATTTCCTTCAAAATTTAGGGAAATTCTTATATTGTTGTGGCAGAAACATGGATTTGGTTGTGATATTTTGGGGTCAGGTGAAAACTTAACTATGCAGGTGAGTAAAGAGAGGTTCAGGTTTACAGCCTGGGCACAGAAAACAAGGACAGGAGAAGGAAAGCAGGAAAGAGATGGAAAGGAAGGAGTCTGAGAAGACTGCAAGGAAAGAATGATGAATCCTGGAATGGTTTGGGTTGGGAGGGACCTTAAAGCTCACCCAGTGCCACCCCTGCCATGGGCAGGGACACCTCCCACTAGCCCAGGTTGCTCCAAACCCCGTCCAACCTGGCCTTGGACACTTCCAGGGATAAATTCAGCAGGATAGGATTGTGTCTGACAGACATCCAGCACAAAAGCAGAGCTTGGGGGAAGGGAAACCTCAAACCGGAGGAATGATGGGACAGGAAAGGAAAGAAGCATGGTAAGAATTTCCCTGTAACCAGAGCATGTCAGGCTGGAGGAAACAATGGCTGGAGCCAAATTTCAGAGGAGAAGCAAATATAACCCTTGTGGTGGGGAAGTCAAATGGGGCACCTTAAAAAAAATGCAAAAAGAATGAGGTTCAGAATTGAAGTTCTGGGAGGAAAAGTGAGAGGTTGTTTTTAACCGTTTGTTTTTTCACTTAAAGCCAATTATTGTGACCTTTTTTTGTCCAATGTGCTAATGAGGGGTTTGACTTGGCCTGCAGAGGTTTTTCTTCCTCAAAAGGCAGCAAACAACACACTGGGCTTTGTCTGTTCTGGTCCCAACTCACTCCAAGGCTGTGGCTGCCCCATCCCTGGAAGTGTCCAAGGCCAGGTTGGACAGGGCTTGGAGCAACCTGGGCCAGTGGAAGGTGTCCCTGCCCATGGCAGGGGGTGGCACTGGATGGGCTTTAAGGTCCCTTCCAACCCAAACCATTCTAGGTGAAAATCCAGCCTTTTTGCACCCAATTCAAACAATGCCCAAACCAGGGTCACTTGTCCCCCCCAGCAAAATCCAAGGCTGACCAGATGATTAAATAGTGTATTTTTGCTCTGCACTGACCCTGGAAGGACTTGTCTTCAATCTAATCCATCAAGCTTTTTATTTACATATTTTTAACCTGCTATGAATTACCTGCTTCAAAAGAGCTGTTTTTCCAGTGGCACCTGGCATTCCTGGTGCGTGCCAGCCAAAAAAACCCCAATTCCCACCCTGCAGGGCTTTAGGGATCCCTCAAACCTTGGCTGAAGAAGGGCAGAAACCATTAGTTCTGCTTCAGAGAGTTAAATGATATGATTCTTTCTTCTTTTGTGCAAGTCCTGATTTAAATATCTTTCCTTGACACTATTTGAGCTGCAGAGGGCACCTTGATTGATTTTTTTGGGACGCTGATGGAGTTTAATCTCGGAGCTCAAGGTAGACAGTTTATGTCTGAGGCACATTTGTTCATGCAAAGCTTTTTAATCTCCCTGTGTACCTGAAGGATTTCCATGCTCTGATCTAAAGGAACACATTTGGGCAAGAGAAATGATAAGAAATCACTGAAACAGCTGCAAAAAACCACCTTAATTTGCTCTGCAACAGAGAAAATGAAGCAGGAGGGCAAAGCAAGTCAGCCTGGAGGCTGCATCCAAAGGTTTTCCCTGTGGCTAGCAACGTGGAATTTTCAAGTTGAATCCCAATCTTGCCTGGTCTGTTGGAACCCCAAGCAGCCCCTGTGGGATTTACAGGTCATGCCAAAGGTGTGGATCTGCCTCAATCTGCCCCATCCCATGTTTTCCCTGGGAACAGTGGGAGTGTGTCCTTTCAATCTGCCCCATCCCATGTTTTCCCTGGGAGCAGTGGGAGTGTGTCCTTTCAATCTGCCCCATCCCATGTTTTCCCTGGGAGCAGTGGGAGTGTGTCCTTACCTTGCAGGGAAGCTGGAAGGATCAATCCCACCAAGAACTGTGCTGAGCTGTGATATCCAGAGTTCACAAGGCAGGAACTGCTCTGGGATGCATCCCTTTAAATTCCTGCCAATATTTCCCTTCCCGTTATTCCTAAGGCTTGACTGGGAAAAGCAACCTCTGACTCTCTCTGCTTTGAATTCCCAAACACCAGCAGGCACTGCCCCTTGGAGTCAGGGACAAATCCCGGCTCAAAACCCACGAGGACACTTCAGAGTGTCCTTCCTTGAGCCACAGAGATGGAAAACACAGAGATGGAAAACAGAGATGGATGTGTCACCATTCCAGAGATGGAAAATATTCCAGTTTTGCTGCTTTTGTGTCTCCTCTCAAGCCTCAACCTCCTCACTGCTCCGGAGCTCCTTGGATCGCCAGCAGCAGGAAACGAGGCATCCTCAGGGCTGGGAATGTCTGGACACTGGGTTTCCTCTTGGAAGTGATTTGTTTGGGTTTTTTTTTTAAATTGTCTTCCCTGTGAGGGTCTAAAATTTCATCAGGAGCCACTTGCTGTGGAAAAGCCCAGAAAACCGAAGGAGTTTGTGTCCCAAGGTGAAGCCGTGGCAGCTTCCAAGCACCACAAAAGCCTCTCCCACCCCACGTCCCGGAGATGCTTGGCTGGAGCTGAGCCTCAGGAGCCTGTCTGCAGCCAGGAAGGGATCTGAGAACTCCCAGACAAGGATATTTGGATGCCAGAAAGGAGTGTTTCAGAGTTTCAGAGTTTCCACTGCGTGCTGTGGTTTGCAGATGACCCAGGGCGACGCCCTGGCCTGGGGGGTTTGATGCACAGGAGGGACTGGGAGTGCTGGTTTGAGCCCAGAGGGCTGGGAGAGGGGCAGGAGTGCAGGCAGAGCCAGGAGCCAGCCGTGGAGTTTTAGCTGCATCTGGATTTGTAATGGCCTGGGTGAACGTTTGGCACTCCACTAATGTAGCTCCATTTTTAATTATCCGGTTTGGGGTTTATTTTGTGGTGCCTTTTTTTGGCCCGTGGGGGTGAACTGCCTGAATTCCTCTCTCCCTGAGCAGCAGCAACTCCTGTGGTCCCCACTGCTCTCTCCAGCTGGGATTTCACCTCTTGCACAGGAAGAGATGAGGTTCCAAAACCTCCCTCCCTGTTACCTGCACACCCTTAGGCCTGGGGGATTGCATGGATTAAACAGCATTCCCTGCAGGTGCTGGAGGAAGAGAGGCTGTGCCTGGATGGAAACAGCCCCGTGCATCTGGAAACCTGCACATTCCCATGGTCCCACCGTGCCTGCCCTGCACAGCCAGGGAGCAAAAGGCTCTTTGCTGGTTGCTGAGCAAACAGCTCTTCCCTCTCTCCTTCTCCTTGTCCCTGCTTGCACCTCTGACTCCAGCAACATGCCTGCAGTGTCCTGGAAATGTCCCTGCTCTGGGCTGGGTGGCTCCTTGGAAGCATTCCCGGCTCCACAGCAAGTCCAGGCGGTGATTCAGCACCGGGAAGTTACAGTAAGTCATTCCCAGGGCAACTTCTCCGACACAGCAAAAGACACCCAACCCTCCTTCACCCTTCCAAAGGAAAGGCAGCTTTCCCGGGATTTGCCACTGCTGACTCAGTCACCCTGGGAATTCAGCATTCCGTGTGCCAGAGTAAAGCAGGAGGAGTTGTGTCTGCAGAGGGTCCCCTGTGAGGCTGTCCCAGCTGGATTGTCCCTGCAGAGGGTCCTATTTGGGGCTGTCCCAGCTGGATTGTCCCTGCAGTGGGTGGGGTTGTCCCACTGGGGGATGGTGGGGACACCCAGACACGGGTGCTGGCAGCAGCAGGACCATCCCATCCCATCCCATCCCATCCCATCCCATCCCATCCCATCCCATCCTCCCTGCAAACCCCTGTCTGGAGCGAGCAGCACATTCCAAATAGCTGGAGAGCAGAATTCCCTGAAAGTTTCCACATGAAGGTGCCAGGAAACAGCTCTTCCCTGCCCTGAGCTGCCGTGGCAGATCCACATGGGATCCACCCCCATCCCGCTGCTCAGCCACAGCCAGAGCAAGATCCCACTGGGAGAAAGCATCATCCTGGAATGCTAAGGGTGGAAAATGGGATAGGGAATGTTACCTGGAACAAACTCAAGCCAGCTCAGCACTCACCCGGCCTTGCACTTATTCCAGCAGCAAGGGCAGAGCACCTCATTCCTGACTCGAGGAACTGCAGGTGGGAACGCTCTGTTCCCAACAGGAACGGGGGTTTCATCCCTTTTTCCAATCCCTTGGACTCACCTCGTGCCTCAGCAGCCCTGTCTCCCTGTTCCCTGGCTCTTCCTCAGCACCACATGAACGCTGCCCTTCATTCGGGGCTCCGGCTGCTCCGAGGAGGCTGCACTTCCTCGCTGGAAGCCAAGGGAAACACGGAAAGTCGGGCTGGATCCTCGTGAAACTTCGCCTGTTTGCAAAAGCAGCTTTTTTTTTTTCTGGTTTCTTTACTTGCAGCGACTTGTGCCGGGTTCGTGTGCCTTTGTCCCGCTCCCGTTTCCCCCCCGGGGACTCGCAGCCCACGGGATCCCACGGAGCCTCTCCCGGGGATGGCAATGGAACCCAAACAAATTTGGGATTGAAAAAAAAAAAAAAAAAAAAAAAAAAAAAAAAAAAAAAAGCCTCCACCACAGAACCCAAAACCACATCCAGCGTTCCAGCCAAGAGGGATCACATGGAAATCATTTTTTCTTCGGCGTCTTTTTTAGAAAAGAGAGGGGGAAAAAAAGAAAAGCAAAGCCACGATGGAATCTCTGGGGTTTGTGCACGAGCTGGAAAGGTGGGAATGGTTTTGAGCTAAAAGAGGGAAGATTTGGGTTGAATATTAAGAAAAAACTTTTCCCTGGGAGGGTGGGGAGGCCCTGGCACAGATTGCCCAGAGAAGCTGTGGCTGCCCCTGGATCCCTGCAAGTGTCCAAGGCCAGGTTGGACAGAGCTTGGAGCAGCCTGGGATGGTGGAAGGTGTCCCTGCCCATGGCAGGGGGTGGAACTGGATGAGCTTTAAGGTCCCTTCCAACCCAAACCACTCTGTGATTCCATGATTTTAGTGCCCACACTGAGATCACACACTCGGGCATTTCCAGCCCTTGGAAAAGAACACACTGGTGGTTTTATTTAAAATTAGATTTGGGCTCTGAATTATTTTTTTCCTCCATTCTTTTTTTTCTTCTTTCCTTTTGCAACTGCTGCCATTAATTGCAAAAGGGAGGTGGAAGGCCTGGGTGCCCCTTGCAGTGCCAGCTCCAGCATCATTCCTGCACTGAGGATGATAAAGAACAGCCAAATCTTTAATTTTTGAGAACAACAGGAAGGGAAAGGTGTGTTTGTCCTCTCTGCCCTTCCCCTCTTCAGGTAATAACTCAGTGCTTTAAATATTCCCTCCCCCCAGCCCTGTCCTCTCCAGACTCTTCCACACCATTCCCAGGGGGATGTCCTGCCCAGCTCAGGCCTTTTTGCATTTTTGGAAGCAGGTGAGCAAGGATGAGATGTGAGAGTACCCTGGGAACCTCTCTACTTTTCCACAACCCCTTCAAAGCTTTCCCTTCCTTCCTGAGCCATCCAGCCAGGGGGCATCACCTCAGAGAGGTTCCCATCCCTGCCCCAGCTCCCAATCCTGCCCAAATTGTCCCGTCCTCCACATCTCAGAGCCCTGGAGCAGAGGCAGGGAGAGGTTGGCACCATGGAAAAGGGCAGTTTGCACCTATTTTCAGGTTTAAAGAAGACAGAAAACAACCTTTAAAGCTGTAAGTGGACCTGGATATATAAAGGAGAAAAATTGTTTGCAGGGAACTTACTTGGGAATGGATTTGTGTTGGATTTAATAAAAAGAGCAGGTGATTAAACAGATAGGAGTTATTTTTTGATTCAAAAAACTGCATCCTGAGTGCCAAGGAGAGGGATCAGGGGCTGGTGGGGAGTGGGGCAAAGCAGAGGGAGGGTTTCCACGTGGCACTGGTGCTGTACTGAGAGGCTCCCTCAGGAAGGAGCAGTGAGGCAAAACATCGAGGTTTGGTGCTGTCCTGACATCCAGCTCTCCATGAGTCACCCTCTGGAGCTGGGCTGCTCCTGCTCAGGCTCCCTGGAGCCTCCCATCCCCATCCCTGTCCCCCAGCAGTGACTCCCACGCCAGCCCCACATGGATCAGGACGTGCCAGGCAGGAGCCTCCCAAAATGTGCACGTGCAGGAAGGGGGGAGCTGCATCCACAGCCTTTCCCAAAGCTGCATCCACAGCCTTCCCAAAGCTGCCAGGAAAAGCTAAACCTCGCTCATCCTCCTTTTTGGAAGGACCTCAAACAGCCTCTAGGAAAACAAATGACTTTACCTCCCACATGCCAAGTCAAACCCTTCCCCCTCCTCGTCTCTGCTCTGGGTTAAACACCCAATTTGTGGCATCTTTCCTCATCCCTCATGATTCCCAAGCATCCTGCTCTGCTCTTGGCTCTGCTCAGCACCTTTTGGGAAGGGACAAGGTTTTCCATGTGTCCCACTGCCCCCAAAGCCACCCTGCTGGTGTTGCTGCATCCCTTCAGTTCCAAATCCCCCTGGACTCCAGAAGGGAATGTTCTGGATTTAGGCCTTTGTGTCCTGGGCAGTGGAGGCAGCACAGGGCAGGATTTGGGTCTCCCTGCCCCACAGAGCAGCCAGAGTGTGTCCTGAGCACCCTGGGCACACTTTGGAGAGGGATTTTTTTTCCCCTCCTTTTGTCACCCAGCAAATATTTCTAATTAGAACCCAATTAATAAATAACATCGTTAGCCCTGCTGAGCCACGGGAGCTGCTTTGCAGCAAGTTCATCCTTCAACAAGAACCAACACAAAAAAAGGGCACAAAATGAATTCCAGAGCCCTTCAAGCAGAGGGAATGGTGCCCTGGGTTGGGAATGTGGCTCTGCTGCCAGGGGGGTTTTGGGAAAGCTCCTCTTGGGGGGTGGCACATCCCTGATCCCATTTTTCAGCCCCTATTTTTAAACTGAGCTCTTCAAGGCCAAAAAATGTGGGATCAGAGCGTGACTGGGCACAGTTCTGGGTTCACAGGGAGGGGAGTGAGGCTGCTACTGAGAAATAAAAATATTTTATAGATTTAACTCAATAAAAAGAGCGTTTGGGGGGGTCTGAAAATTATCTGAGCCGGTCAAAAACTATCCAGGAATGGTCTAGATGAGGGCTTTTTAATTTTAGTCTGAAACTTAGGGCAGGAGAAGAATGTTCTGGTAGCCAGGGCCTGGCACCAGCACTGGTGTCTCCACACGAAACAGGTTTTCTGCCTCTTGCCACGACAGCCTCCTTTGTCAAAATAATAATCTCATCCAAAGGAGAAGGATATTTCTGTTTGCACAGTTTGATTTATAGAGCTTGGCTTTTGTCCATGCAGGAGAAAAAAAATCAAATAAATATAAAACTCAGTTGTGGTGAAGGCTGGAAGCAGAGGAGGGAGGGGTGGGGAGATCAGAGAGAGGGGAGAGACTGCAAGGGGGGCAAGGAGAGATCCTACAGGGTTAGAAGAGAACAGGCTGGGAAAGTTGGGGCTGTTCAGCCTGGAGAAGGGAAAGTTGGAGACCTCTCAGCACCTTGCAAGGTCTGAAGGGGCTCCAGGGAAAACTGGAGAGGGACTTTAATCAGGAACTGCAGTGACAGGGCAAGGGGGGATGGGTTCAAACTGAGAGAGGGGAAATTTAGGTGAGATATTGGGAAGGAATTCTTCCCTGGGAGGGTGGGGAGGCCCTGGCACAGGTTGCCCAGAGAAGCTGTGGATGCCCCATCCCTGCAAGTGTCCAAGGCCAGGTTGGACAGGGCTTGGAGCAACCTGGGATAGTCAAGGTGTCCCTGCCCATGGCAGGGGGTGGGACTGGGTGGACTTCAAGGTTCCTTCCAATCCAAACCATTCCAGGATTCCTTGGTCTGGTGTGATTCCATGATCTGGTGTGATTCCATGACCTCCTGCACCCTCTGCACCCATCAGCCCATTATCCACACATCTCATGGAACCTGGATGCACGGATGAAGCTGCACTTCAGACACGTGTGATTGAAAATATCCAACCTGGTGCCAGCCCCAAATCCCCCCAGCTCAGCCCAGGAAGGAGCCCTTGGCTCAGGGCTCAGCTTCATCCCCCTGACTGTATTTGCACAGAACCCACAAAGAGCTGAGAAGGGAAATATTTCTCCTTGTTCTTTTGTTTCCAGGACAAAAGAGAGTTTGGATTTTTTTCCACTTCCACTGCCTTTCCAGTTTTTAGATCACTTGTAATTACAGAGTGCTGAGCAAAGAGCTGCTGCTCTACCTTTTTGTGAACGCCTTGGAAGTTTTCTTTGAAGCCTTGGCAGGTTCACCACGGGTGTCATTCATCACCCCCCTGCTCTGCATTCCACAACTGGGCTCATTCCCTTTGCCAGGCTGGAAAAAATAGCTTTACCAGGCCTGTTTATACAGAGGTAATGATGGGGAGAGCCCTGTAGCACAGAATAATTGCTATTTTCCACCGAGACATTCCTGTGTGTCCTCAGAATAATCTTAATGTTGAAACTCCTGGGAGCGAGATGGGCTGTGGACAAGAGAGTTCAAATGAGGGAGGGGAATTTTCTTCACAGATTATTTTATAATTCTCCAGTTTTCAACTTTAAAATGGTGTTTGCTGGTTGAATCATGGACTGGTTTGGGTTGCAAGGGAACTTTTAAGGTTGTTTAGTCCAACACCCCCCAGTGAGCTGGGACATCTTCCACTTTCCAGGACATCCTTGCAGACCTTTCTCCAGCACAGAGGAGCTCAGGCTGCTTTTCCAGGAGGGATTCACCCCCCAGCCCACCCCTCCCTCCCCTCCATGCCCTGACAAAGCCCAGCTCAGGCTCCCAAGCTCTGTCAGAATTCCTGCTCCAGGAATGACTCCAGGATCCTTTGCTGACTCCAGGATCCTTTTGCAATTTCCCATCAAACCCTCCCTGGGATCACTGAGGGGGTCTGGGAGTGGGGTGTCCTGAGCTTCTACCTGGAAGGTTTTGGGTGAAGGGAATTCATCCTTCATCCTTCCAGTTCTGCACTGCACAGAAGGAGAAACCCTGGGAAAGCACCAGGTTTGGGCTGGAAAAAGAGATTTTAAGGTTTTTGACAGTAATTCCTCAGTCCTTGGCAGCTCTTTGGGGCTGAGATCCTGCCTGGGACATGCAGGCAGCACTGGAACGGGAAAAATGCTGCTTTACAGCCTGAATCTTCTGTATATTTGTGGTAAATCTCTGCTTTTCGTGAAGAATTTGGACTCTTGTTGAAACGCTTCAATGCCAAAAACCTTAAAACCTCTTTTTCCAGCCCAAACCTGGTGCTTTCCCAGGGTTTTT